AAAAAAAAAAATAATAATAATAAAAATCATGGAGAGATGGGGTGTTAGAGGTGGAAGGGACTTTAGCCATTACCTACATAATTTTCTCTTTTAACGGAGCAGTTCTTTGGCCCCCATTCCTTTAAGGGTTTTGCTAGTGAAGATCTCTTCTTGACAGAATTCTCAGAATGTTTGATCATATGTTAGAAGAGTACAATGAGGAAGTGATTTAAAGGAAGAGGAAGTAGGTAGTGGTGTCATGTTGCTGTGTCATTATTACAGTGTGACAGTTAACTGGAAAATATTTTTTAGGTAATTTAACCTAAAAGTATCTTCAAAATAGAATTTCTGTTGATCAATGGATATTGATTACTTCTTGCCATTGTCACCTGCGCTCAGCTCCCTACTCACTCATTTCCCTTACCTCCTCTGTGGGTCAGTCTAACCATTGCTAATAATCTCGTGTTTTGTATCATTTTATAAGATTTTGGTTTTCCTCTATTAACCTTAGTTTCACAGATTGGCACCCCACACATACACGTGCACACACACACGTAAGACAGGACATCTCTGTTTTGGGAAACTTCAACTAATAGCCATTATTCTAGAATTTCTTTTTGTAACATCTATTTTTTTGATGCCCTTAAAAAGTCTTTTATTACTAAGGTTAAGAATAATGTATATAAGATAGGGGCGCCTGGGTGGCTAGGTCAGTTAAGCACCTGCCTTCGGCTCAGGTCATGATCCTGGGGTCCTGGGATCGAGCCCCACATCAGGCTCCCTGCTCCGTGGGGCGTCTGCTTCTCCCTCTGCCCCTCCCCCTACTCGGGCTCTCTCTCTCTCTCTCTCCTTCCCTGCCCCTCCCCCCCCGCTCATGCTCACTCGCTCGCGTGCTCTCTCTCTACACTCTCTCTCTCAAATAAATAAATAAAATCTTTAAAAAAAAAAAAAGACGAATGTGGATTAAATTGACGAATCATCTTGCTTGTATAAAACACTACCAGAGCCAAGTAGGAAATGTGAGATTATATTCCAAATCTGTCATATAAACCCTTGTTCTTTTTTCTCCTCAGGTGTTTGGATTTCTAGCAAGTATTATGTTCCTGTCTGACGTTGTCATTATGTTCTGTGAGAGACGACAGGAGTCCCAGATGAGGAAACCAGAGGCTACCAGGAGGGCAGGGCCCCTCACAGAACCCCTTAATGCTTAAGGACTTTGGGGACTGCGTGTTACATAAGGTATTGACTGTGCCTGAGCCCTGGCCGCTTGTGTAGAATTTGTGTAATTGTTAAGCCACTTCTTTTGGAGAGCAAGGGGAAGGGCAGGAAGGCAGTTTTATTAACATTGGCCTGTGTGTCAGTCACCACAAATTAGGCCAGAGAGTTTTTGGGCTTAAAAAAATTTTTTTTAAATAACAGTTAAAACTTCTGTCACATGAAATGGTTCTGTTTTTGTTTTGGAGGCGAGGGCAGTTGTTTCTTTAAATCACGTAGCTCAACTGATGATAATTTATTCTGTTGTCGTTACTAGGCCTAGCTTTCAAATTCAGGCTGCACAGCCAGCATGATTAAGTTCATCCATTTAGGAATTGTTTCATTTTTAAATTAATTTGCTTAGCCAGGATTTTTTTTTTTTGATGATCAGATAAAATTTAATGTATATTTAAGAGATCACTATTTAAAATATTGGTCTAGATTTTTTTTTCCCTTAAAAATGTAATACCCAGGCTTTACTGTATCTCAGCCTTAAAATTATATTGTTACATTTTAGGATAATAACTCTTTCTGAGACCTTTCATAGCCTGATAGAAACTGTATGGGAGGTGTTGGTATTTTATATGTATAAAAGCAACAACATCAGAAACCACATGTTTTTACTGCACTTTGGTGGTTGTTGATAAGCAAAAAAAAGTTTATATAACACACAGAAAAATGGAAGAAACTCTCATGGCTAAGGACCAAAGATAAAGAAGATACACTTTTTGCACAATACAGTGAAAGTAATTATAAAAACAGGCTTCAACCACCTACCACTGTCTGAAGAGATAAGTTCATACTATGAGTTAGAAATTGGTCCATTCCCTTACTGGCATATGGTTATTTCTACTGAAGTTAATACAGCTCTGCAGGTCCCATTCAGAGTTTTCTTTTAAGCCTCCCCTCTTTTTAAAACCCCAGCCTTTGATTTTTCATCTATTTGAGATTCTCCCTTTTCTGTCTCTTCATCCACATGGTCCATACACTGCTTCATCACCCGACAGAGGTGAGCCTCTAGCTGTGACTCTTGCTTGATGGCAGTGGTCTTTAGGTGGTCCAAAATTTGGGGCCCTTTTAATTGCATAGAATATGTAGCAGGATCTTTAGGGTTCTTGTTCCCACATTGGGCATTACTCTAACTTCTCTTTGGGGGAGCCCTTCTTAAGAAAGTGAGCATCTAGCAAATCCTGCCCAGGTTAATACTGATGATGGTGTAAGGGAGTAGTCTACCCATTCTCAAGAGACACTTCCTAACTAGTTCTGATAATTTGGGAGCATTGTCTCTTGCTGGCAGGTTGTCTTAGACCCAGCCAGACAAGGCACTCAAGACAGGACCTTTCTGACCAAGTGGTTCACAGAGTAGACCTCTCTTGTCCTCCTCTTGGATTTTTGACTCAGGACTCTAGAGTTAAGGCAATGAGCCCATGCGTCAGGTACTTCAGGACTTTGGTGGAGGTCTCCTGGGCTAGCTGGGCTGGGTTATCTATTGGAAGGAGCGGAATTATGTTTCCAGTGAGACAATTTAGTGACCCTGTCCTTTTTAAATTTCTCATTTATGTGTTGTCGATGTGGCGAATGTGGTGGTCAGAATTCATTATGGCCAAACACAGCTTCTCCTGTCTTTACTGACTCAGGACCTTATCCCTTTGTACCAGAGCTCGGGTGCTAGCTAGTTCTGGTGGGTAGTCACCACTGCCTCCTCCCTGGGAGATAATGAAACCGATTACTGATGCTGTCGTTACTGGGCATACCATCCAAGAGAGGAGAAATAGCCTGGGTCTGGGCTCCAAGAGAGTGGTGCAAAAATAACTCACTTCTGGTCGGCAGGTTCTGGAATTTCCCATCTAACTGTACCACTGTCATTTGAAATACCATCGAGACCCAGCTGGGTTTCGCAGCAAATGGTCTGGGCTACCTCAGGGGCCTCCCACGCGCATGGATTTAGTTGAGGTTGATGGACATGTCCCCGCCGGCCTCACACATGGAGCGCATTGACATTGAACTTCAGCTCTGCTTGTTCTGAGGCTTTGCTTCCATTTGTTTGATTGGAGCACAAGTGAGCCTCATAGCTGCCACTTAATCCTTCCCTTTTCGGGAAGATCATATATTCACTAGTACTTTTGGTCACTCCAGAACTTCTCTTCATATTGTTTGTTATGGGACCCATGACTGATTAGCCTCCCTCTTCTGTTGTAGAAGGAATGAGAGGAAAAACACCATGTGGAAAATAAAAAGTTTTCAAGGAGAACTTGGGACCAAAACCCCTCCTATGTCCAAAACAGGGCACACTCAATAAACTGAAAGTTATCATAATTTTTTATTAACAGCCATGTTAGACTTAATTTGTTATATTTTGTACAAATAAACTGTTTAGAGTGGTTCTTAAAAATTATAAGGGAAATGCACATACAGTATAAAAATTTTATAATTGCTGTACTTAAATTATGTTCTGTTTGGGGACTGGGAAATGTATTTTTACATTGTTTATAGCCAATCGCTTTTGTATTTATCAATTTAAATCCTGTGTGTCTTTTTTTTTTTTTTTTATCTTGCTCAATGTCAAATTTTGTAGTCTTCTTTTTAAATAAATTCATTTTATTGTCTGCCTTTGTAGTTGTTTCATTGTTACTTCAGAAGCCTGATGCTCAGGGTGACTGGGTGACTCAGTCAGTTAGGCGGCTGCCTTCAGCTCAGGTCATGATCCTGGAGTCCCAGGATCCAGCCCCACGTCAGGCTCCCTGCTCAGCGGGGAGTCTGCTTCTCCCTCTGCCCCTACCCCCTCTCCTGCGCGTGCTTTCTCTCTCTCTCTCTCTCTCTCTGCCTCAAATAAATAAATAAAATCTTAAAAAAAAAAAAAGAAGCAGCCTGATGCTGAGATGAAAACTTTCTCCAGACTTCTAGGAGTTGGCTCTACAACCGTGGTAAGTCCCTGTGTAGAACACTGAACTGGGGGTCCACCCAGGTGTGGGGCACAGGAAACAAAACCTCTTCCTACCCAGGCGCCGCCCCTCCCGTTGCCAAGACGGAGCACACCTTCAAAGGGTATTTTTAAGGAGCCATATAGGAAAAGTCACAAAGCAATAAACACCTTGAAATACTTGCAAAGAAGCATATTGGGACTCTCCCATTACATCTCTCGATGTGGCTAAACAATGCTAAAAACAAAATAGGCACATTCTCTTTCAGACAGTCCAGTGACTGGGAAAGTGTGAAGCAAAACCGGGGTGGTTCTGGTAAAGCTGCAATCGTTTGTGTCGTTGCAGAATTCCTGCCTCCGGTCTGGACGAGAACAAGATCTTTATTGTCATCAAGAACTCCCTGGAATTTGTACATTCTTCAGAGTTTTGTGTTTTGTTTCGATAAAGAACATTGTGTATCAACGTGCAGTCAACTTCGAGGAGCAAAAATGTAATTTAAATAGGTCTTAACCAGTAAGGACAATGTCTTTCCTAAGAAGCCCAGGTAGGGCAGTTCTGTGACTGGTCAGAGTTCAGTGACTCAGTGGTATTATCAGGCGCCCAGACTCTTTCCATGTTTTTCTGCCCATCCATCTTCTGCTGTGAGTTTTTATCCTTAGGGTTGACCCTTGATGGTGTAGCAAGATGGAGGCAACATGTCCAGACATCGTCCACTTGCACGACAATGTCCAAAGGCCCGAAGGGAAGAGATTGTGTATTTCTCTGTCCCGAAGGTGTTCCTTTTTCCCAGAAGCCCCTCAGTGGACTTCACCTACTTGCCTTCTACTAGAAGACTTTAAATGCCCATTTCTAAATCGCTTACTGACCTGGAGAATGGCATTACTGAAGAAATGGCCTAAAGTAATCCAGATTCCTCTCCTTCGATGGGAACACCCTTGGAAGCATATAGCCTTCCATTACCCGAACAGATTGGTTCTGTAGCAGGAGAAGGGCCACTGGCTTGGGGTTCAACAGTGTCTGTCATAAGCAGGTTGAGGATCGGACCCCAGCTAGGGGAAATAAAATTCCATTTAAGAACATTTCGCAGGCCTGACTACCCCAAAACAATTTAAAATAGAAAAACTAATGGTTTTGATGTCTAGACTAAATTATAGTTGTACAAGTAATGGGTACCATAGAAAATTGGTTTAATAAAAGATGGTAAGTATTGTTCTTTTCCTGAGATCTTCACTTTTAATTGTGGAACTACATCAAGCACCGGAAGTATGGAAGATCAATACCCTGTTGTAGACACCACCCAGCTTTAGTAGATCTTAACTTTTTACCAGATTTTCTTGAAAGGTCCTTGTTTAAAACAGAAAATGAAGTTTCACTTGTGAAGTACCACCACCTCGAATTTTGCTCTTTTTACTTTTCCAAAGGCAAACACTACCGTGAATTTGGTGGCTATCTTTCCTGCTTTGTCGTCTGTGCTCTCTATAGAGATGTACCCATAAGCAATGTATAACATGGTATCTATGCTGTATTTATCCTTTTACAGATGGCTTTCTTCAGTCAGTAGTATTTTGAAATGTATCTGATACATGCAGCTCTAGTTCATTCATTTTAACTACTCCTTGGAATTCCATTGAATGGATATGCCACAAATTACTTACCTCTCCTCTGTTGATAGAAAACTTTTAATGTGCTTTATTTTTGACCGTTTCAACCAGTGTTGCAGTGAACAAACATTTGAACATCTCATGCATATGTGCAAGAGTTATATATAGAATGTGTACTTAGAAATAAAACTGTTGGGTCACAGTTTGTGTGCAATTCCAACACGGCGAAATATTTCCATATGGTGTCCAAAGTGGAGACTTCTCCTCAGCAGGGTACGGGGGTGCTTGTTTCATTATTCTTGTCTTGCACTGAGTGTTAGTTCGGCTGAACAGTTCTGAGCTGGGATGGAAGTGGTCTCTCATTTGATTGTACACTCTCCTTATTACTGGTGAGTCTGATCATCTTCTCATTTGGTTGTTGACCTTTTAGGCTTCCCCACATCAAAGAGTTGCTCGTTCATATCCTTTGCCTTTCTTTCACATTGAGGTTTTTTTTTTTTTTCTTAACTCATTTGAGAATTTTTGACATATTATGGATGTTATCCTTTGTTAGTAATAAGCCTTGGAAATATCTTCTCAACGTCTGTGTATTTTAACTTCACGTCTTTGCTTATTGATTCTTGTTACCTCAAGGTCAGAGATGTTCTCTGCTTTCTAAAATGTTTAAAGATTTGCATTTTATATTTAGTACTTGAATGTACCTTGATTTCTGTTTGTGGTGTGAATACCACATGCCATCTGATTTCTCGTGTTAGCAAGTGACTCTTTGCTCCTCTAAGAGACAGAGTTCCCTCTGTCATTTACCAGGTTTATGTATATGTGTGGGTCCAGGGCTGGCTTTCTTGGGCTGTTTTTCTATACCTAGGCTAATACCACAGTCTTGATAAAGTGTTAATATCTAATAAGTTCAAAATTGTTCTATTGTTGGCACTTTTTAAAAAAGATTTTATTTACTTATTTGAGATAGCACGAGCGGGTTGTGTGGGGGCAGAGGGAGAGGGAGAAGCAGACTCCCCACTGCAGCCTGATGTGGGGCTCAATCCCAGGACCCTGGGATCATGACCTGAGCTAAAGGCAGATGCTTAACCAACTGAGCTGCCCAGGCACCCCTATTTTAAAGACTTTTTAAAGAATAGTTATAGGTTTGCAGTAGAATTGAGAGAAAGGATACAGAGGTACTCTACTTTTTACTCTAAAATTTTACGATAGGTTTGGCAAGTTCCATAAAAAGCCCTCATTAACTTTTTCTTGGAATTGCATTGAATTTATAGATTAATTTTGGGGGAAATGATTTATCATTAAACTTCATTATGAACCTAGAATCTCCACTGATTTGGGTCTTTTATTGTTTTTCAGTAAAGTCTGATGTTTTTTTTTTTTTTAAGATTTTATTTTTTTGACAGAGACACAGCGAGAGAGGGAACACAAGCAAGGGGAGTGGGAGAGGGAGAAGCAGGCCTTGGCAGGAAGCCCGATGAGGGGCTCGATCCCAGGACCCTGGGATCATGACCTGAGCCGAAGGCAGACGCTTAACGACTGAGCCACCCAGGTGCCCAAGTCTGATGGTTTTCTTCATAAAGGTCCTGCACGTCTTTTGTCAGATTTATCCTAGATACTTCATTTCTGCAGGTTTCCAGAATGGGATCTTTATTCTAAAAATTACATATTCTGGTTAGAATAGTGGGATGGATTGTGATAGATTGTTATTGATCTTGAATCCAGCACTGTTGCTGGCATCTCTTGTTACCTCTGAGAATTTTTGGATTCCTGTAGGATGTCTCACATCCTGGATTTATTTGTGTCCTCGTGTCATTTAACCTGTTCCTCTCTTCCCTGTGTTTCCTCTAACTGAAAGAGAGCTCTAAAGGCTTGCTTAAAATCAGATTAGTCTTTTCCTTTACTTAAGGTTTTCTGGCAGGTGATGCTGTGGACTTCACCAGGTTCTCGAGCAGGCCTGCACTAACTGTACCCTTTGTGGTTGGGGGGCTGACATCGGATCCCTCCCACCATCAAGGTTCCGATCAACTTTGTAGTTCAAGGTTTCCATCCCTTGACCTTTCTCTACCTCTGTTATCAGAAGTTGCAAAATGGTGACTGTCATTCCTGCCACTTTTATTAGCTAAAATTCTTCAGTAATGCTCTTCACACTTGCAGCACACATATTTGACGTTCTAAAAACAACGGTAATCGGTACTCCTACTCATCTCCTGAACGATACTAAGTCCTTAGAAGTAATGCCCATCAGTTCTTCCTGTCTACTGCTACTTCCTGTCTTCTTCCTGCCCACTGTTAATGGCCTAGTAGTTTTTGCTTGATCGTGTTTTAACACCTCCCTTGCCTTCCACGAGTTCGTCTCAGTGCTTTTCTCTAGATGTGGTTGCTTCACATAACCATGGATATAACATAAATATTGTGCCTGTAATTAACTAGTTATGTGTTTCCATGGGGGCCACATTCAATTTATTATGTCATCACTAGCCCAGTCCTGGGTGGCCCAAACACCCGACCATACGGCTAGGCCATTAGTGACAGCCCAAGAGCCGGTTCACTAGATCCCAGGGAGGTGAACTCTGGCTAGAAGTCCCACGTGTTCAGCCCATTGCACGGGGTGTCCACAGCTGTGGGCCGTGACCCGTTTACCACCCCTGGATGGCTTTAGCGTTGCAGAGGACCTGCTCGCCTTGGAGGTGGGTGGGCTCTTTCATCACGGATTCTTGTCAGCTGGCTTATTTGGTAGGTGAGACCTTCATTTAACCAGCAGTTCATTAGGGAAAACACTATTTCTGTCTAATGGGTGGGCAACCACCTGTTTGTGAAGATGGTTAAAGGCTCAGTGTTTGGCCCTTCCTCAGAAGATCCATTTTCTTCTCAGGAGAGGACTTTCTGGATCTTGTCCCACCTATGGAATCTAGTTCAGAGTTGCCAGATGAGAATGTCAAATTGGAAACGGTTTGATTTAGGGCCCAGTAATGCTAGCAGTTGACTCTCGGCAGCAAGAGGAAGTCCTCAAATTCCAAAGTTCACAGGCCCAGAAGTGGAGTTTTCATCGCTGGAGGCACCAGTCAGCTGGGTGATCAGTCAGACGCCTCTAGTTCCTTGAAGTCTGAGGGAGACAGGCTCTAGGGGAAGGCATTTACTGCTGCCTGAATTGCCCCTACGATTTCCTTGTTGTGGCCTTCACTCAAATGGACACATGTCTGGTGACTTGGGGTGGAGGCTGGAGGAATAGTTCCAGGTTTGGGACATACTGTCCCCGATAGTTAATATGCAAAGCAGCCAGTTTGGGTGTGGGGCCACTTCTCTCATAGTTGGTGGCTACTATAAAATTTGTCCTTTTTTTTTTTTAAGATTTTATTCATTTATTCATGAGAGACAGAGACAGGGAGAAGCAGGCTCCCCACGGAGCAGGGAGCCTGATGCGGGGCTCGATCCCAGGACCCTGGGACCATGACCTGAGCCGAAGGCAGACGCTTAACGACTGAGCCACCCAGGCGC